GCGGGAGCAGGCTCTGTGAGGGAGTTTGGGTGTGGGAGGGGGTTCTGATCTGGGGCAGGAGGTTTGGGGTATGGGCTCCAGCCGGGCGGCGCTTACATCAGGCGGCTCCTGGTTGGTGGTGTAGTGGGGCTAAGGCAGCCTCTCTGCCTGCCCTGGTGCTATGCAGCTCTCAGAAGCAGCCGGCATGTCTGGTCCCTAGGCGGAGACACGGCCAGGTGGCTCTGCTCAGTGCACGCTGCCCATGTTCACAGGCGCGCCCCCATAGATCCCATTGGCTGGGTTCTCACACAATGGGAGCTGCGGAGCCAGCGCTGGGGGCAGCATGCAGAGCTTCCCAGATCGCCCTTGCGCCTAAGGGCCAGACATGCCGGGCGCTTCTAGGGAGCTGCATGGAGCCAGGGCAGGCAGGGAGTCTGCCTTAGCCCTGCTGCACCGCCAACCGGACTTTTAACAGCTGGTCAAAAACCGGACACCTGGCAACTCTATACACATGGCAGAAGAGACACTAAACAGAAGAGACACATGGCTCCTCTCCCTTTAACCTCTGAGCATTGGAAGGATTAAACAGGAAGAAATGAGGGAAGACTATCCTTTTGTAGTTTATTTCTTCCTGTTGTCCCAAACTCCCTTTGGAAGCTACACTTACGGTAGATCGGCACTGCTGTGATTGATGCAGCCGTGTCAATTTAGGGGGCCGCTAAATCGATCGCAGAGTGCTCTCCCGGCGACTCCAGTATTCCACCTCCCCAAGAAGAGTAAGGGAAGTCAGCGAGAAAGCGTCTCCTGTCAACCCAGTGTTGTAAGTTGACCTAAGTTACGCTGACGTTATTCACGTAACTGGCGCAGCGTAACTTAGGTCGACTTATCGTGGTAGTGTAGACCAGCCTCTGTGCCAACTGGCTGCAACTATGTCAACCTCCCAAATGCTAAGTGGAGCCTCCTCTTTGCTGTTCGTGCTGCACATGAGAGGTGACAGCTCCTTAACATTGCTGCCAAATCACATTGCACAAATTCAGGGAGCTTCAGAACCACGTGAGGGAAGAATGTCCTTGGGTCAGGAAGAACAAGTCAATGAAGGTCTTTGCCCTTTTCTCTTTACAGGAGCACAGGCCTGTGGAGCTGTGCAACTCCCCAGGACTGACACAGCAGACTGCGTCACATTCTCCTTTGTAGGAACACATCACTGGCTATTTCACGGACAGGACAGAGCCCACTACCACCTCCGCCAGCTGCTACCGTTACCTGAGTAGCAGCAGCTGAGGTCTCCAGAGGGCAGCTGCTTCCAGAGTCAGACAGCAGAGCTTTATGCAAAGGGAACCCAGAAGGGGCCTTTCTTCTTACTCAGCTTTGCAAAAAATAATAAATAAAAATATGCCCTCACTGAGCCTAGCAACGTTCCAGAATAGAGACAGGGAGCTGACTCACATCCCCCTTTGGAGAGAGCCCACCTTTTATTCCCGGTGTTTCCCTTTGGAAACACAGAGAACTTTGCTAGTTTCCCCTTAGTGCAGCTTCACTGGCTAAATCGCAGGACTCCTGATTTGCTCCAGCATCTGTGATAGGAGATTCAGGTTCAGTTTCAAATGCCAGAACACAACAGGAATAGAATAGCTCTTTAAACACAGAATATAGTGTAACAAAGGGCCCTGCGGATTCCTTACTTACCCTCTCTGTGGCTAGGAGAAAGACACATGAAGGAGCACATAGCCACATCTTTCCATCTCTTTGCAGGTTGTGCAAAATTATAACATTTCAATCAACTCTACGTTCTAGCTGCAAATAGAGAGGCTTTCAGACAAAGGTAAATAACATGCAAGGCGCAATGTGCTATTTCAGAGTCCCATAACATAGGCGAATTGGCCAGTGTGAGGCTGTTCACATCAGCTCTAGACAAAGAAGCTGAATGAGGTCTCAGAAATAGAGATATATGGAGAGAGGGAATGTAGCCAAACTTTACTCTTTGACCCCAGTTTAATAAGCCGTTAGTGAAATAACCAGTTACG